TTTGCAAATCCTCCCCCCCCCAAAATTTGTCCATTACTTAAGTCTCTCAAGATTCACAGAGATTCAGATTATCTAATTATAAAAACAAATTTTTTTTTAAAAATTAGCAAATATATCGGGAAATAAACCATCATGAATAACAAGAACAAAAGCAAAATTAGCCTCCAAAGGACTTCAGATATGTAAAGTAAGTATGTTCTAAATATTTATAGAAAGAAAAGATGGAATTAAAACAGAGCAAGAAGCAAGATATTATCAACATAACCAGCAAACAGGAATTGGATATTCTAGGAATTAAAAATACACTATCTCACATCAAGAACAGAAAATAAAATGTTTCTATTCTCCAATTTCAAGACAGGGAAGGACTGACTGTTCTTTGACATCACTCAGCTAATCTCTAAAGCATACTCTGATACTGAGCAAATACTTAAACACTCCTACTTTTTAAAGCCTCCAATTGTCCCCAGTCTGATTCAATACCAACTCTTTGCTTTGTTTGCCATGTTTAAGAAGCACAGTTTCTCCCTTGATTAGCAAGTAATATATTCAGCCTCTTTTTTTCAGCCATAATGAATGGGTTTTGGTTTCAAGTATTTTGAGCGATGGTCTTTTCCTTCAGAAAATCCAATAAATTAATAGCAAAATTTTCAGATTAGTAAACCAAGAATATAAATAAACAACAAATATCCAAATAAAGCATAGACATTTTTTTAAAAAAGAAAACAGTAAGTGATGTATAGAACACACAAAAAAAAGTCTAATATAGGTATAATGGGAGACCAAGGAGAAAAGAAAGGAGCAAAATAGTATCCAAAGAGATTTCAAGAGACTGAGTATTCTCCGAGAACTAATAAACAACATCAACCCACAGATTAAAGAAACTTTAAATGCAAATCTAGGCACATCATACATAGCAAAACTTTTGGATAACCAAACAAGGAGAAAATCTTAGAAATAGCCGGAGGGAGGAAATGACATTTTATAGAAACATCAAAAATACTAAACACCTAGGAATAAATATAATGATATATATGAAAGTTATATATTAAAAACTATAAAATCTTATTAAAAAGAAATTAATTAATGGGAAAATAACTGAGATGAAAATAAATGAAGGGCATTAAATAAATGGAAGAATATTCACATTAATGGATTAAAATACTTTATACTGTAAAGATATCAATTCTCCCCAAACTGGTCTACAGATGCAAAACAATTCCATTCACAACTCCAGCAACTTTTTTGGTGAAAAATGATCAATGATTTCTATAACTTATAGGCAATGCAAAGGCTCAACAATAGCTAAAGCAATTTTGAAAAAATAACAAAGTTGTGAGAGTTACGCTATCTTAGACCAAAATATGGATTATTAAATTATAATAATTAAGAAGTACGGTGTTGACACAAAGATTGGCAATCAGAAAAATAAAACAAAGAATCTATACCTGTACTGTCCCATATGGTAGCCACCAGACATGTGGCTAAATTTAAATCATTATATATCATTATATATTATATATCATTATATAAATTTAAATCAATATATATCATTATATTTATTCCTAGGCACTTACTAATAAAGGACAACAGAATGGCTAATAAGCATATGAAAAGGTGTTAGATTTCATTTGTTATCAGAAAAGTGCAAATGAAAACCTAAATGGTTATCACTATATACTTGCCAGAAGATCTAAGATAAAATTAGAGATAGGAAATAAGTGTTGGTAAAGATGTGATAACAAATGGGACTCTTACATATTATTGATACAAGTAAAAATTGGTATACTTTGAAAACTGTCTGAGTTAGTGGTTGAATTATGTCCCCACAAAACTCATATGTTAAAGTTCTAACACCCAGTGCCTCAGAATGTGACCTTATTTGGAAATAGAGTCCCCACAGATGTAATTAGTTAAAATTAGATTATGGGGGGGGCCTTAACCCAATAATGACTGGTGCCCTTAGAAGAGAATAGCCATGAATAGTGAGAAGATGATGTGAAAACACATTGGAAGAAGACAGTGTTCTACAAATCAAGGAAAAAGACCTGGAACAGATACTTCCCTCACAACCCTAAGTGGAATCAACTCTTTTATCCACTTGATTTTGAACTTCTAGACTCCAGAAATGTGAGACAATAAATTTCTGTTGTTTATAAGTCACCAACTTGTGGTATTTCATTATGACAGCCCTGCCAAACTAATATAGGAAGTTATTTACTTGTAATGTATATATATCTTATGACTCAACAATTATACTTCTTGGTATACACATGACAGAAATATATGTGTATGTATGTATTTACCAAAAGATTTGTATAAGAATGTTCATAACATTATTATTTGTAAAAAAGTCCCAAACTAGTAACAATTCAAATATTCATCAACAGTGAATGTATAAAAACTTTATGGTGTATTTACATAGTGGAATTTTATATGAGAATGAACCAACTACAACCACATGCAACAATAATGAAGAATATCAGAACGATGTTGAGCAAAAGAAGTCAGACACCGAAGATACATACAGGTGATTACAATGATATAGTAGAGCATATAAAAGTAATCTATGGTTTGAGAAGTTAGGAGAAGTCATTACCTTAGGAGAGGAAGGAGGCAAAATGTGATCAAGAAGGGGGGCGCCTGGGTGGCTCAGAGGGTTAAGCCTCTGTCTTCGGCTCAGGTCATGATCTCAGGGTCCTGGGATCAAGCCCTGCATCGGGCTCTCTGCTCAGCAGGGAGCCTACTTCTCCCTCTCTCTGCCTACTTGTGATTTCGGTCAAATAAATAAATAAAATCTTTTTTAAAAAAAAGTGATCAAGAAGGGGCAAGAGAAAGATTTCTGGGATGTGGGTAAGGTACTAATTCTTGATCTTGGTGATGGCAATACTGTAAAAATTCTTCAAGTTCTACACTTGTACACATATGTAAAATGTACATCATTTCAAAAAATTCTTTGAACACTGAATAGGTAAGTTAAACACATTAGAATAACTGAATCATAATCTTTTGTTTTTAAAAAGAGATCTTTAAAAGTAGCCATATTGTAGCACAGGTAGATGCAGAAAATATAAGACACATTAATGGAAGCATGGGATAGAGTGAAAAGGTAGTTTAAGTCTCATCAATATTGCAGAAGAAAATAAACAAAATGAATGGGTATGAATCAATATTTAAATATATTTTTAAGATTTTATTTATTTATTTGACAGATATCACAAGTAGGCAGAGAGGTAGGACGAGAGAGAGGGGAAGCAGGCTCCCTGCTGAGCAGAGAGCCCAATGCGGGGCTCGATCTCAGGACCCTGGGATCATGACCTCTGAGCAGAGGCTTTAACCCACTGAGCCACCCAGGCGTCCCATGAATCAATATTTAAAGAGATACGGGTGCCTGGGTGGCTCAGTTGATTGAGCATCTGCCACTCAGGTCATGATCCTGGGATGGAACCGTGCTTTGGGCTCCCTGCTCAGCAGGGAGTCTGCCTGTCCTTGTTCCTCTGCCCCCCACCACCGCTCATGCTCTTGCTCTCAAATAAATAAATAAAATCTTAAAAATAATTTTAAAAAATAGATAATAGTTGAGATTTTTCCAGAATCAACATGGCACAAATCCCAGATTAAAAAATGCACAATAATCTCAAGGAGAATAAACAAAAAGAAAACCAGACTGAATAAATTGTTGTTACACCTCCAAACTCCAAAAACCAAGAGAAAGTCTTAAAATCAGATACAGAAAAAGATCAGGTCCAAATAGAAAAGACAGATGACCAACAAAGGAATGAAAATCAGACTGATCATTTTTTTTTTTTTAATTTTCAAACTGACAGAAAATCCAAAGAGAATACTACAGCGAACACTCTTACCACCACTCACCAAATTCAATGTTAACACTGTGACTGACTCACTCCAAGTCTATCTGAACATATATATGTCCTCTCCTTTTGGGAAAATACAGAAAGTAGGCTGCTATTCACAGTTCTTCATCCCAAATTCTTTATCATGCATTTTCCAAGAACAAGAACATTCAACCAAAACATCATTACCTCACCCATGATAACTGACATTAATTCAATAACATCACTCTAAGAGAGCTCAGATGCAATTTTCCCAGTTATCCTAATATGTCCTCTAAAGCTTTTCTTTTTACTTATCCAGCATCTAATCAAGATTTATGTATTACTTTCAGATGTTTTAACTTTTAGCTCTCTCAATTTAGGACATTCTCATCACTTCCCTTGGTTTTTCAGACACTGTGTCCTATAAAATACCTTATATAAATATCCCATATTCTAAACTGGTTTGATTGTTTCCCCATTATCAAAAGAACAAGTATTTCCAGAAAGAAATGTTGTACAACTCCAATGCAGCACATTGTGCCTATAGCTGCCCCACTACTGGCTATACTACATGAACATTTTGTAATTTTTCTCTTTGTAATCTTTAAGTCACCTGTAAAATAAGTTTTTGAGACTCAAGAGCACACTTTTTAATGGCAACTATGAAAGACATACGTCAATAGAATACAACCTTCCAAGTGCTAGGAAAAAAGGGCTATTAAAGTAGAACTGCTGGGGCGCCTGGGTGGCTGGGTGGCTCAGTGGGTTGAGGCCTCTGCCTTCAGCTCAGGTCATGATCTCAGGGTCCTGGGATCAAGCCCTGCATCAGGCTCTCTGCTCAGCGGGGAGCCTGCTTCCTCCTCTCTCTCTCTCTCTCTCTCTCTGCCTGCCTCTCTGACTACTTGTAATCTCTATCAAATAAATAAATAAAATCTTTTAAAAATAAATAAATAAATAAATAAAGTAGAACTGTATTGTCAACTAAAATACCATTCAAAAATGAAGGCAAAATGAGGTATATCTTAAAATTATCTCAAGATATGGGAAGACAATGTACACACACAAAAAACTGGTTTGCACAAACCTTTGTTGTTTTCTTTTTTATATATATATACACACTCTAGAATTAAATATTTTTAGCATGTCTTGAAAAAAGTACTTTACCTGCCATCTCTTCTGAGGGCAAAAGCAATGCCATCTTTCTGGAAAGGAAGTAGCTTTGCTCTTAGTTTTTCAGGCAAAAAATCCAAGTGTTTATAAGATTCATTTGTCAAACAAGACATCTGAGGTATAAGAGACTTTTTTATCGCATGAACTTTAGGCATCCTGATCCTAAAAAAAAAAAAGAAATCACAAAAGGGAGGGGTAGGGAAATAGCTATTACTGAATGTATTAGAGAATTAAACGTAAATAATAATATTAAAGTACTTATCTGTGGCCTTGATATACTACCTACATAGATATAAAGTGGTTAAATCACAGTCCAAATGATCTACTAAGAAAATTCAAAGCACTAAGTCCAAAAGCAGTTACTCAGTGCCTAGTGTGGGAACTCAGCATCCTTTATTTCATTTGTATTTCAAACTGAACCATAACATAATAATTATCCTGTTTTAAGCAACAAATGTTTTACTGAAAATTTACAAATCAGCCAGATTTTTAAAACTAAATAATTTTTAAAATAAGGAATGATTAGCTACAGGAAGAGGAATTCTTTTATGATTAATCCTTTTACAGATCCACATTTTCCTATCACACCAAATTTTCTAAGAATAGGATAAAACTACATTTTTAAAATTACAAAATACGAAGATATTAACTCCAAATTTATAATTAAATTAAACCAATATTAAATGAGATTCATTTTAAAAAATTAGAATGAATTCTTTTAAATTAAATGAATATACAATATAAACTCTGCCTGACTGGTACCTTCCTCAGCACTGGGTTTCCACAAATGTCATTTTAAGTTTCTATATGAAAATTTCCTATGTCTATAAATTCTCAGAGCTCTGCAAGAAAGAGTCCTATTAAGCCACTGAACTATAAAATTTCTTTAATAACACTTTATATTTAGATTGTACTTTTTCATCTGTTTATATGTAATCTCACTTCATCTTTAAAACAAATTTGCTTTTTTCTCAATTGCTTGCAGACTTATAAAATTTTACTCCACCCAAAAAAAAGTAATCAACCTCTGTATCCAATATCTAAGAATCTCAAGAATTCAGTGTGTATTTGTTAATAAGAAGTACATATTATATTCCAGGATCTGGAGAAGCAAGGACCACGCCCTCACAGGTCTTAACATTCTTAAGGGGGAGACTAAAAATAATGAATAAATGATTAATTACAGTAAAGTGTAAATATTAGGAAGGAACAAGAGAGTAATGGCCAATTTAGGTAAGCTGACCAGATAAGAACTCTCCTAGGTGATGCTTACTTAGTCCATAAACTAAAGTATGAAAGAGTCAACCAAGTTCAAAACTGAGTGGAGAGCACTCCCAGGCAGACAGCATCAGAGGAAAGGCTCCAAGCTGAGAAAGGGTTGAGTGATTTTTAGAAATACAAAGGAGGCCAATGTGGCTGAACCAAGGGAGAGAATAGTATGAGATGAAGCTACTGAGATAAGCAAGAATAAAATTAAAGAAAGCCTTGATAAGGGTTTTGGATTCTGTTTTCGGAATAAAGAACCAGTGCAGCTCTGCCATCCGAAACACTATTAGCCAGAAGTGGCTCTCTGGGTTAAAAATTAAAACTTCAGGCATGATGTGAAGAAGAGACAAGAATGACCCCTGCAAAGAAGGGAGAGAAGGTACCCAGTGGGAAAAAGGGGGGGAACTGATGTTGGCAAAGAGTGGGAATAACCCTGTAGAAAACAGAGATGCCAAAACAGACCAGGCACAGAAGGCTGAAGGTGCTGGAGATGCCAGGTGAAGTGTGTGCATTTTTGATAGCTGTGTACTTCTTGTGACTGTACAGTTTGATATACCATTTTTTATCAAGTTTTATAAAAATGCAGAATTTTGTTTTACCTTTTTCTTTTTAAGCTATGTTGTTAGCACATAGAACATTTCATTGTTGTTTGGGGGGAAGGGCTTTTATCACTAACAGAGTATCTCTGAAGCTAAACTGATACAAATGTAACACCACCACTCCCTTTCAGTTTTGAAAATCTTCCTTTTGGTTCCCAAGGGGAGGGATTCCTTGATGTTGAAACACATTAGCCACCCTGGCACAAATGCTTTGTGGTATGGAAAAATTCAAATTTCTGTTTATGTCTTCTTCTCCCTGTCTGCCTTCAACATAGACTTAACTCTCTTAAGCCCAGAGACCTGTTGGAACTTGACCCCAAGACATAGTTCTCAGTGTATGTCAGGCAGTCTGGACTTTACAGTGTCACCATGGAGATGGCACCCCTCAAAGACCTCCTTTTTTAGCTTCTGGATCTTCAGATTGATAATTATGCTATCTTCATTTCATTTCCTGAAAGTCAGCATCTGCTTGTGAAAAGTTGTTGAACAATATGTTAAATGTGAAATGTCAACCCTCACTCTAAACTTTCCCTGTTCAGGCAATCAGATGAAGACTGCATTCGTTTTTATAGTGGCTTTCTGATTTTGGTAATCCATGGAAGAAGGGAGTATAAAAGTTGTGGAATATTGTTAATGACTATCTTCCCTTGTCCTGCCTGAAATACCATCATTGTTTATGAAAAGTATCTTTAATAAAGGTGGATACAGTTTGGCTTGGAAAAAAATAATAAAAACAAATAAAATTAAAACCTCAGTTCCTCAGTCACATCAGCCATGTTCCAAGTCCTCAGCGGCCACATGTGGAAAGTGGCTATCATACTGAACAGCGAAGATGTAGACCACTTCCATCTTCACTGAAAGCTATATTAGACAGCACTTACCGGAGAGTTTTAAGTAGGAGAGGGACACAATCTTATATTCTAAAAACTTTGTTCCTTGAGGACAAAGCTATTAATAAAAAAAATAGGAGATAAATGTCCCTAGAGGACTGCGCTAGTCCATAAAGGCCCCACTGCATCTGTTGGCTACTGGATTTAGATATGACTTATGAAAGATTGAGACCTCTCTGATAAGGTCCTCCTATACATCATCGCATGGGCCCCCCTTCTCAACACCATCACCAAAACACTGAATAAATAACAGAGAATGATTAAAAAAAGGTAAAGCATTAAAGCAAGAAACTTATTACCAGGATGTAAGAAATAAGGCAAGAATCATCTTTGGCAGTAGAACTGGAGAGATTCAGGAAATGAAACAGAGGTAAAGCAAACAGAACTTGCTGTTGGAGGATATGTGGAGAATGAGGGACATGTGAACTCAACATACGTTTAGAGTGATGGAACTGATGCAAATTTATTGAGATGGTAAAGACTAAGGAAGAAATGGATTGGGGAGAAACAATCAATATATCTTTTAGAAATACATAAACTTTGAGATGTTTGTAAATTATGATGTGGAATTGTCTAATAGATTTGGAAATACATGAGTCTGGAACTTAGGGAGAGAATAAGGCTGTATACATGTATTTGGGAGCTGACACAGTACAGTCCACCTACATCATTATTTGAGGCCACCCAACACCTGGGACTCCTGCAATGTTTAGGAATTTCCGCACATTACAAATCTGAGTAGGAGTCAAATATCACGTCCCAGTAGAAAAGCTGGAAAGAGCAAATTCTTGCTTTCTCAGCCTGCCTTACAGAAATGGGATTTACTATTCAGACATACCCCATTCCAGACTTTAATCCAGAGAGTCAAAACTCAAAGAAGCAGAGAATAAGTGACACCCATTCTGGCAAGGGTAGCAGCAGCAGAAAGTGCCATGTCCACTTTCCAAAAGCAATAGGGATTCCAGAAGCACTATTGAGCGTCATTGGTATAAGGAGTACTTCATATCATTAGTTTAGGGTGGAATATTGGCAAGAAGCTCAGAAAAAAATACAAAAACCATTTTACCGTCTATTATCTTTGCTTTTTTTTTATATTGTAAAAAATTTTAACCAACACCAAGAAAAAATATCTGCTAAACTGAGGTCATACTTATCTGATTATCTGATTTATTTTACTAAGACTGAATCAGGCATTATATTTGTAAAAATAAACAATGAAACTAAAGCCATATTAATTTAAAAAACTGTTTTGAGAGAGTCACCAATAAGAGAAAAAATAAAGATGAAGATAAAATAAGTCTACAATAGTAAAACAATGTGTAGAAAATTTTCCACTGAACTAAAATTGTGGAATGTCTGCTTCCCTGGTGATTTAAATTGGTATCTGGATACATAAAGGACATAAAAATAAGTAGTGGTACAATTAATTAATAACACAGGGGTATTTCAGTTAATATTCAAAGTAAAATAATTTTAAAATTCCCTTTCCCCCTTATATTATAGAAAGTCTAAAAATTATATCATAATAAAAAATACCTCATTTAGGTCAGCCACATAGGTTCATCTACTGCAAAAGGTCAGTTGTAACCAACACTATGTTAATAACAGAAGACTCGGGCTTCATCTTCTAACTTATCAAAAAACTAATACTAGTAATAAATGTGCATGTCCATCTAATCATGAAAACTATAGAGAATTTAAATCAGAAATTTAGGAAACAGTTTTAATCATTGTATACATACAAGTTTATTTTTTAGTAAGGTTAGGGGAGCTGGTAAGATGGAACTAGCAATGTCATTTAAATTATCAAAATTAAAACATTGGCTAGGGAAATTTAGTGAAAGCAAAACCTACCAGAACTCACTTTCTAAGCAATTCTCTTGATAAACAACACTTGAGAAGTAAATAAAGGGAAATTTTCTTTTTCAGTATTGTATTTAGATCAAGATGGCATTTTTATAATCAACTGGAAACAAGACAAACTCAAATGGAATTTACTGATACATTCCTAAATAAATATTAGAATTTTGTTGAGGAGAATCAACTATTGTTGAAATACAGTACTAATATATTTATTTGGGAATAAAAACCAAATGGCTACTCAGAGAAATTATGGACTTTGAGGAGATGATTTTGTTGCTTTTATTTTTTTAATTAAGAATTTGTTTAATGAGAGATGTCTGGCTAGCTCAGTAAGTACAGCAGGCAATTCTTAGTCTGAGGGTTGTAATCTCAAACCCCACACTGGCTTAAGAGATTACTTAAAAATAAAATTAAATTTAAAAAAAAAATAAAAAAAAAATAAAATCTTTAAAAAAAAAAAAAATTTAAGGGCGCCTGGGTGGCTCAGTGGGTTAAGCCGCTGCCTTCGGCTCAGGTCGTGATCTCAGGGTCCTGGGATCGAGTC